GCAAAATTATATGGATATGGAGAGAAGTTCAAAGAAATTTATATTTGTGCCAATGCCAAATGAATGTATTTTCTTCATTTGTGCTGCTTGAGTCCTTCTAACTCTAAATGGCTTACAGCAAAACCAGCAAAAATACCTTAATAGCTAAAAATAGTCAAAAACTCATAATTTAAAACAACTCTAATTAATACAAATTACTTTTCCTCCATCCTCCCCAAGGCTCTTTGAAAAGGCTTATTTAAACAATGTCTAAGAATCAAGAAAGAAAAGGGAGAATTTTACACCACAGGTTACCACTAGCACCTTGAACTGCCTCCTGAAGCCGTCAGCAGCCAATGTATTCTCACAATATCAGTTTTTATTGTTAGATCTGAAAATCCCAGTTAGCATATGCACCACTGCATTCTGCTTTAATTGAAGCTTCCAAATAGTCACCCTAGCCAATTCTATGTAGATTATGTTAGAGGAGTTCAGTAAGTTGATGAAGTATGAAGAATTATCACCAATGCCTCCTGATCCAGAAATGGTCACAACTGATGTGTCATATCAATGATACATAGATAGAACATCAAAGAATAAGAAGGGACCTGGGATATCTTCTAATCCAAACCTCTGGTCAAGCAGGAAATCTTACACCATTTCAGACAAATGGCTGTACAATCTCTTCTTAAAAACCTCCGTTATTGGAGCATTCACAACTTCTAGAAGCAATTTCCATCTTGTTTACAGCCATTCCACCTCAAACTGTTTCTCCCCATTCAGACAACCTCCAAACATCAGGGTTTGACATGGGTAAAGATTTATATTTGGGAACTATGAAAACACCAATGATATATTTCAAAAATTAGGTTGCCAGCAGTGATGGTATGAAGACTGAAAATTAGAATTTTGGCATCAGATTTCTGAGATTCTAACTCCTTCCAGCCAGGGGTGGGATTCTACCAGTTCGCACCTATTCGCTAGAACTGGTTGTTAACATTCTAAGCAGTTCGGAGAACCAGTTGTTAGAAGAAATTACTGGCCTAATCCTGTAAGGAAGGCAGGCAGGAAACATTCTGGTGTTGCTTACAGAAACTGCCTCTCTGTTAACCCTTATTACATTCTTGGCAGGACTAGACTTCCTGTCTCTGGAACTTCTCTGGAATTTTTTTCCCCTCCTTTGCTAGTACTTTGCTTGTGTGGAGTGACCATTCAAAGTTACAATGGCACTGAAAAAAGTGACATGACCGTTTTTCACACTTACGACTTTTGCAGCATCCCCACAGTCATGAGAGGCCAGGCGAGGAGATGCATGCCTCGATGTGAGTGATATTGAGTTGGCCACACCCAGCCAATAACATGACCACCAAGCCATGTCCACCCAGTCACATGACTACCAAGCCACACCCACCACCTAAGCCATGCCCACATAACTGGTTGTTAAAAACTTTGAATCCCACCCCTGCTTCCAGGTATCCACTTATAGTGCAGTCTGTGGTTTTTAGGTCTGATCAAACATTCACTGATATCTACTTGGAACCCTTCAAACTTTTCTAAAACATTTCAAGGAATGGTGAGCCGTAGCAAAGGAGGACTTTCACGAAGGATTCTACAAAACATTGGCTCCCATTGTTCAGTACTGGGATGCTGGCAAATGCTATGCCTTTGTTACCCATCATTTCTAGACACTGCAGTAAACATATTTCAGAACTATCCAGAGACACCAGGAGCCATGAAGAATCTATTCCTGTTTTATAGATTCCCTTTTGAATGAGACACTAAGGACCTACTCATCAGTGGATGCGCTCCTTCACTGTGCAGTAGTGCCTCGTTGAAGAAATATTTGTCATTCCAAAATATTAACTATAATCTTTGAAGTATGGCAATTGTTTAGCATTAAGTATATCATTGATCTTGCAGACATAAACAGTATCTGGTTTATAATATATGCATTGAATTTATTTGCAGCGTCTTTTTTTTAACCTCCCCCCCCCTTTTTTTTTTAGTATGAATAAATCATTGCAAGAGATTGTGGGAAATTATCAATAAAAGGCATTGTTGGCCTCAGTATAAAAACACTCCACTCCATCAACATGCTGTGTTTAGCCCCCTCATTTATTACTCTCAAGAAAATGCTTGCTTTGGGGAGGGATTTCCTTTTGGGATGTGTGTGTGTGGATGTGTGTGCAAACTACAATGTAAATTAACTTTAAAAGTTAGGTAAAGAAATAGTTTGAAAGCTGTAAAGTTTTCAGAAAGCCAGTGACTTTTTCTGTGAAGGTATTCCCTAACTTTTTCAGCTCTGGAGAAGCTTCTTGGATGAGAAGCAAAACATCTTCAAAGAAAAACCAGAAGGTCCAGTTGCCTCTTGAAAAAGCACCTTTGGGACAACCATGATCTGGATGACTGAGAATCTCCATAGGCATTTAGCTACTCCTAGTTGTTGTTAGTTGCAAAGTTGTGTCCAACCCATCGCGACCCCATGGACAACGTTCCTCCAGGCCTTCCTGTCCTCTACCTTCCCCAGAGTCTATTTAAGCTCATGTCTACTGCTTCTGTGACTCCATCCAGCCACCTCCTTCTCTGCCATCCCCTTCTTCTTTTGCCCTCAACCATTCCCAGCATTCGGCTCTTCTCCAGTGAGTCCTTCCTTCTCATAAGTTGGCCAAAGTCTTTGAGTTTCATCTTCAGGATCTGGCCTTCTAAAGAGCAGTCAGGATTGATAGTTAATGTTATTTAATTGAGAGAATATAGTGAAATCGTTTAAAAATATGGACTAAGAAAATACAGGCTTAAATCCCTACTCAGTTTCAGAACTTGTAAGTCGCAGTCACATAATTTCTCATTTAATGACCGCAGGTGATTTCCTTATTGACTGTGGCAGAAGTGAGGTCATAAGCCTGTCATGGTCACATAATATTTCACTTATCCACTGTGGGTGATTGCTTAATGACCTCAGCGGGATTAATGTTGTAATTTTGGCACAGTCACATGATGTTTCCCTTAATGACTGCATTGCTTAGAGATGAAACTGGTCCCAATTTTGGTCACCGAGGACTACCTGTAATGCATTCTACAAATTTCCCAGTTTGGGATAATGACATGATTAAAACATGCAAGGCAATCTCTTTATAAGGATACATTGTCCAATATTTTTTTACAGAGGAGAGAAAAATTCTCCAACAGGTACTCAAACCCATAGTTCTGAGGTGGTATTCAGCAGGTTCTGACCAGTTCTGGAAAACCGGTAGTGGAAATTTTGAGTAGTTCAGAGAACCGGAAAATACCACCTCCAACTGGAGATATTACAGTATCCTTCTCCTGCCACACCATGGTTGATTCTGCACCCAATAGTATCTCTTGAGAAGTTCTAATGAAGAAAGAACAATGATAATAGAAATGCAAAAATGGAAAAAGCCTATTTGTTGGTTCTAAAAATGAGACAGTTATTTGAAATATGTCAGGGCACAAGGGAGCTTGGGTAATCCATTTTCCAAAGCTGTTTCTTTCTTTCTTTTCTTTTGTTTTTAAATGTAGGAGACTGGGAATTCAGCTATAGCAATTAGCAAATATTGCACGTACATATAAATCCCGATTAATTATTCTGATTGCAAATGGAGCCAGGTAGTTTTCTGGCAGCAGGGAAAAGAAAGCCTTGCTTTGTGTATAGCATACCATTCACTCATGTAGCAATAGCACTTAGACTTGTATACTACTTCACAGTATTTTACAGCCTTCTCTAAGTGGTTTACAGAGTCAACATATTGCTCCCAACAATGTCATTTTACCGACCTTGGAAGAATGGAAAGCTGAGTCAACTTTGAATTGGTGGCAATCGAACTGCTGGCAATGGGCAGAATTAGCTAACATTCTAATCATTTTTCCACTATGGCTCCTGGCTGATTCAACAAGCTGTCCATATAGATATGGAAAAACATTCCATATCTGTACGTCTAATTTAAGAAATTTATTATTTCTTTATTACATTCTTTTAATTTATGTCCATTCATCTCAACGAACCTTATTCCGGGTAGCGTACAACTAACAATTAAAACAATGTCATTAATTAAACAAAAGCAAGACCAAGAGAGAAGAATATCCCTCTAAACAACCTCAAGCTCCCCACCATTTTCCCAAGTCTGCTGGAAAAGCTAAATTTTCAGAGACTTCTAAAAAGCTAATGGGTCAGTTTAAGATTTTTGTTTTAAAGTGTCCATGAAAATGCATCTTTCTCTCAATAAATGCATATTTCATGCACCTTTCTGTAATATACACTTTTTTTTTTAGAAATATGATTAAGGATTTTCCTTCAAAGCTTCTATTTTCACTCAATTAAATTCCAATAGATGCATATTATATACAACTATGTGTAAAACAGATTTGTTTTGTACTAGCTTAAATTCATGCACTTTGGTGTACTTCTTGCACTAACAAAGGCAATTTATGTCCATTAATCTCTAATATATTCATTTCGACTGCATGGATGATGGGACAAAAATGAGATAAAACTTTCAAATAGGAGAGAAGCTCACATAGTTGCAAGAAATAACTTCTCCTAGCTGTGGAAAAATAGTGAGGGAAATGGATAGTCACCATGTGACACATGTACTATTACATGCATTCCTTTTTTCCAACAAGTTTCTATGCACATTGATGAAATGGATTTAGTTTAAAACTAAATCTTACTTCAAAGGAGAGTACTTTAAATAAAATCTCATAGATAGAGTGTTTTCTGCACGTATTTATTTATATAGCATGTGCAGATGTTCCATTGCACAATTGTTTCCTCAAAAGTGTATAGAAAGCAGGAAGATGTGGAAATGTTGATCCACATTTCATAAAGAAACTTACGAATGAACAGATGTGAAAATGACGATTCTTTAATAAAACAGGACAATTTGCAATTAACTATGCTACCATTATAACTCATGATTTCTTTAAATGTTTGGCTGTCATGACATGGAGCTCAGTAAATTTTCACTAAGCATATTCAAACATAGCATAAATGTGCTTTAATGCTGATACGCACAAAATTTTGATGAATATCCAACAATTACTCTCATCATGAGGTCTAATTATCAATAGTCACTGGATTCTGTTTTTTTCCCTTCCTTTCCATATTAATTATAATTTTCCTAACAACCTAGAGGGATATGGACAGGGGTGGTCTTCAAAACTTTTAGCAAAGGGTTCTCTGCCCGATTGTTGGGTGGGCGTGGCCATGGTGGGTGGGGCCTAGTCGGACTCCTGCACCATGGCAAGGGGAGTGTTTTTGCCCTCCCTGAGCTGCAGAGGCTTTCCTTGAGCCTCCGGGAGGGCGAAAATGGCCTTCCCGGGCTCCGGAGGCTCTCTGGAAGCCAGAAACGGGCCTGTTTCCAGCCTTCCTAAACTCCTGGGAGGCCTGTTTTTCATCTTCTCTGAGCCTCTCTGTGCATGCCCTGCATTTACCTGCATCCAAAACGGGCTGCATAGGAACTCCTGGGAGGACTAGGCGGGGCCAGCCAGGAATGGGATTTGGGGGTTCTCCAAATTGTGCAGAATCTTAGCCAGGGGTTATCCTGAAACCCCGCAAATCCCCAGCAGCCCACCCCTGGATATGGATCACAATCTATTTGACTCCACTATTCAAGTAAGTCCTTTAAAACAAGATTCCACAAGGAAGCATTAACAACAGAAGCTATGGTAATATCCATTCTGTTCCATATTTCGTTAGTTGTAATATTGAATTGGCCTGAATACTTTATTCGGCCAAGTATGATTAGATGTGCAAAAATGTGTCTCTGGTACAGAAACTCTCACTGTACATGCAAAGCAATTGAACAGTACTAATACCAATAAATGGGGGCAGTAAAGGAGATAATAAGAAGGATACAACAGCTACACTACATCAGTAAGTATACATTGGCATTAGGCATGCATTTATTATTAATCATGCACACATTCTCTTTGAATTTGAAAGGAATGACTAAATTTCAGTGCCAAAGATTTGCAGAGTATCCCTGGATGTATTGTTCCATCTATTATTATAGGAAAATAAACATGAAACAAAACCCAGCAGAGAAAGAATGAGAACTTTATCCTGTGGATAACGCAAAATTTGAGCTCGCTATGTCATGAAAGGAATTCTGGAATTCTATGTCTGGAATTGGTGCCAGGTAGCTGTTAGGAACTGCAATGGGTGAAAGAAGCTCAGATTAAACCTTGGAATAAGGCAGCTGTTCTTTGCAATAGACAAGAAGCTCTTCTTTTACATTGTCCTTGTCCTTGGGAGTCAACATGCTATAATTCAATGCCTTCACAGAGACAAAAAGGGCATTTCTTGTTCTCTTAGTGATAGAAGATAAAATAGTGATGCTCTCGAAAGTGAATGTTCTTTGTTTCTTATACATCTGATAATTATATTGCAGTGAATGAAAGAGTGAGGGTGTCTCTAAAGTGTCATCTCACTCTAAGGAGTGCAGGCCTTGAAGAGGTGATTAAAAACTAATCTCATACAAGTGGAGCTATCACTCTCAGGCCTTTTAAAGCTATTGTGCATATCTATGTTGTATGAGGGGAAGTGGTGGCTCAGTGGCTAAGACATTGAGCTTGCTGATCTGAAAGGTCCGCAGATCGGCGGTTCGAATCCCTAGCACCGTGTAACAGAGTGAGCTCCCTTTACTTGTCCCAGCTTCTGCCAACCTAGCAGTTTGAAAGCATGTAAAAATGCAAGTAGAAAAATAGGGACCACTTTGCTGGCAAGGCACCAGCATTCTGTGTGCCTTCAGTGTTTAGTCATGCCGGCCACATGACCACGGAGACGTCTTCAGACAGCGCTGGCTCTTCAGCTTTGTAACATGGATGAGCTGGAAACAACTATCACATATGTGTGAGGGGAACCTTTACCTTTATGGATGTATGTGTACACACACACACACACACACACACACACACACAGACAGTGGGTGAGAGAGAGAAAAAGAGAGGAGAGAGAGAGAGGGACGAAGAGAGAGAAAGAGATGAATAGTCCCTTTTAATTGGGTTATTCTACTTAAGAAATTATTTTCTGATCAGACACTGACAAGACTGAATTTGTCTTGATTGGATGAGCAGCCTACAGAGTTGGCAGAATTTTATTCACACCCAGCTTATGAAGACATTTATGTGTTATCCCTTATATCATGCAATTAAATACCACAGTTAACCATGAAGTTGTAGAAAAGTACAGTGGGGTCATCATTCCATTTAATGTGACATGGCGTATACGAGATTTCACACAGCCAGAACAGGGATAATTTTTAAAGGCAGATAATTGAGTTAGAACCATCCATCACAATTCGTTCCAGTGCTGATTTGAAAATCTTTAGGCTTGGAAGGACTGTTTGATCACTTGACACTTGGATTATTTTCTTATAAAAGCCTTATCCCAGATTCAACTGGAAAGGTTCAAAACGTCCTTCTATTTTCTCCTTTTGCAGAAGATACTTACAAGGGGGTATGATGCGCAGCAGTTAAAGATGCTGAGCTTGTCAGCAGGAGAGCTGACAGCCTGGGTTTGAGAACCGAGGGCCATGTAACAGAGTGAGCTCCTGTTACTTGCCCCAGCTCTTGCCCATCTAGCAGTTCAAAAGCATGCATATGCAAGCAGAAATAGGTAACA